GCCCTCTGTCTTCTCTGGTGGCCTTGGTCATGGCTACATTGTTTTGGTAAGACCATAATTTATTCAGCAAGCTTCCCTTTAGTACTGAACATTTAGTTTTTTTGTAAAAAGAAATAAAATGATTGATACTTTGAATTCAGTTAGGGGACGGATTGCCACATCTTCTCTCTTCTTGCTCCCTCAACCCGACTATGGAGACGGTGAGGGAGAGCTCAATGTGCGCGGTGAAGACAGTGCAGGCAAAGGGAACAGGTGCACGTGTCCACACGTTGTGGAAAGGAAGGCAGCAGGACATGGCATGCAGAGGCAGCTGAGGGACACTGAGACTGGGAAGTGAGACCAGTGGAGGGGCCCAGCACTGCCCACACCCTGCAGGTCCATTCGCCGGGCCCCTCATCGCTGGCTGTGGTGTACAGGACCACAGTAGGCCCTGGGCAAGGACCTGAGCCTACCCCACCAACCCCAGCAGGAGTCCAAAGGCCCTTGTCAGGAACCAGAAAGATCAGCTGTCACTTGGGCCTGACAGAGGCCGAGCTGGCTGGTTGTCCCTTGTGAGACCCTGTGTCCAGCAAGCCCACCCACATCAGACCCTCATGCTTGAGATAGACCCAGAGCCTAGGGGGCTCACTGCAGGGAGCAGGAAGATGCAAGCCGGATGGAGGCCAGGGCTGTGGGCGGAGCTCCGGGAAGGACCTGCACCTGCAGAGGGTGCAGCTCAAAGACCAGGAAGGAGGGAGCCTGGCAGGCTGGCCCTCCCCAACAGGGGGGTGCCTCAGAGCCCTCCATCCTAGACTCCTAGTGGCCCCCCACTGAGTACTCAGCAGCCCTCACCCCAAGCCTGCAGGGAAGCCTGAGACTTCTAAAGGCTTCCTGGGGAGAGGGAAGAAAGGTGGTCCCACCTGGCAGTGAACAGGCAGAACACCCTTCAGCCCCAGGATCGTGGGGACTGGGGTGGGGACGCTGGTCGTGTTCCCCTCTGATCTTCGTGTTGGTCACTGGTTGCTCAGCTTGTGGGGCACACACACAACCACACACCAGCCTTCCGTGTTTTCTGTGTGAGGCTCACCTCGGCAGCAGTGCTGACAGCTGACCCAATAGACAACACCTGCTATTCTGAGTGCAGACTGCTCTCCACCTGTAATCGTACACCAAGTTATACTTTCAGCCAACCTTGAAGGTAGAAGAAAAGCATTTCCAGATGTGCAAAGATGTCCATGCACCTGCTCTTGGAAGTGGCTGGAGGGTGTGCTTCAATAGCCAGTGGAGTGGAGCAGGGAGAGACGGTGCCTCAGAAGCAGGCACCGTGCCAGGCACAGGGGCCATGCCTTCATCCCAGCAACTCTGGAGGCAACCCAGTGAGACCCCATCTCAAAGTAAAAATAAAAAGGGCTGGGGGTGTAGTGCACTAGTAAAGTGCCCCTGGGTTCAATCCCCAGTGCTGAAAAACGCCAGCAGGAAGAAGAAAAACGCCCGAGTGGGATGTAGGGCTCCGTGGGGGAGCCCTTCCCGGCATGCTCCAGGCCTGGGTCCATCTTTGTACTCCATCGCAGCACAAAAAGAGTAAACCTCAGATCACCCTCAGTGGGAAGCCAGACCAAGGCTTCAGCTGCATGAACATACAGAACCTTCTGGAACAGCAGGCAAGTGGTGTTGGTGAAACCACCTTCCAAGTGGAGACAGGCTCTGTACATGTCAGAACCCACGAGGCTGTGTCCACAAGTTGCTCCCCTTTTAGTAAGTCTTTGGGCCCATTTCTGATAGCCCCTGAGAATCCACTTTCTGAAACAGTTCTCAGGTCAGAGGACACACTTTCTGAAGGCTTTTAAAATGTATTTGTGCCAAGTTTGTATGAATGCAATCTGGGTCCTACCTGTGCCACCCTGGGCCCAGGCCCCTGTCTGCTGTCGAGTACGGAGCAACCCGGCAGTTGGTAATGGCACGTGTCTTCCAGGTGCTCCTGGGGACTCCAGTGTGTGATCACATGATATTCTCAGCAGGTTCGGTTTTGTGTTTGTAACTGTGGGAAAGGCCACTGGAGAGGCTGAGATGTGTTCCACATCTGAACGTGGCTCAGGGATTCTCAGACATGCAGGACAGCAGGGGTACCCTGCCCCCCCACCTCAGCTCAGACACACAGACTCCCTGGGCAGCTGCAGCCTTCAGACTGATCCAAGGGTCAGCGCCATGTAAAGGCCAGACATCCACAGTCAGGGCAGGAGGGAAGGCCTGCCTGCCAGGCCAGGCTCAGTCAGAGAGCCCTGTCGGGTCCTGAGGAATCAGGGTCTGCTTTCAGGGAGGATGTTCCAGAAACCCCACCCCCCAGCTAATCACCTATGCAGATACTGGGCCACCCGGCTCCCCCCCCCCCATGGTCTCTCCAGCCTTAAGGTTTAGGTGGCTGTGCCAGGTGGCCCAGACGCCTTCTCATGCACAGCTGAGGGTGACCAGTGGGGACTCATTGGACACACATTGGACCCAATGGGTAGGACATCCCAGATCTCCCAGGGACACAGGGTTTGTCCCTTCCCCAACATCATGGAATCAGAGCGGGGGCAGCCATGTTTCCCAGGAAGGCTTTAGGGCAATGTCCCTGGAGTGGGCTCAGATCCCGTGTGTACAGCCCAAGCAAGCTGCCCAGGAGGTGCAGGGGTAGGGATGCTCAAGAGTGGAGTGCACCCACACCTGTAGATGCCATGTCTTCACAAAGTGTCTGGAGGGTTTCACACACACGGAGTCCAGGTGGCTGGATGTGGGACTCCAGAAGCCCACAGACTTGCCAGAAATCCATCCATGGTCATTGGACTGGGTCAGAGGGCCTTCTGCAGGCAAGAGTACTGCCCCTCCCCTCCTCAGGAAGGCAAGGAACAGTTCCAGCCACGTGGAAGGACGAGATCAACCTGGAACCTACCAGCGGGGTGTGGAAGACACTGACCAGCTTACACACATGGCCCTGAGCTGGCCGTGCCTGGCTCAGAATGAGCTAATTGGAGCACAGAGAAGTCTGTGGGAGCTTGTGGTCTTCTCTGGGCCTCTTGCAGATTACATGATCCATCAGTGCCTGGGTCTGAACATGCAGGATGACCCCTCCCTGTCCTAGGGTCCACAACGGCTGAAACTCCTAGGGCACGTGCTTGTGGTCTGAAAGTGGGGCTGGGTGAGGTGACATGTGCGGGGCTGGTGCTGCGGCTGCTGCGCACGCTGCTCGCTGGGCTGCATTCACTGGGGCTGCGCTCACTGGAGGCTGAGGCAGGAGGATCACTTGAGCCCAGGAATTATAAGCCACACAGATTCCATCTCAAGACAAGAATACTGGGTTGCTGAGCCCAGACCTGGTGTGCACTAGGAGCGTCTGAGCCATCCTGAGCTGAGGTCTTGCTAATGATGGAAGGCTCAGGGACTTTACCACCCTCTGCTTAGGGTAACCCCACCACCACCAACAGCCTTAGAAGGTTTCTGTCTCCAGATGCTCACGGGACTGAGCCAACCAGGGCAGGCTGCTATGGGGACTCCCTGCAGGACGGGCCTAGGACCCAGAGGTCACTGCCAAGGTTTCCTCCTTACAAGGTCACTGAGGGTATGAGGAGCCATGATTCCGCTTTGTGGGTAGGACATCGGCCCTGGGTCAGATTCCGTCCAAAGCATTTTCCGTGTACTGCATTAATGGACTCTCAGAGACTGTGCCAACCTTGCTTTCCTAGGATGAGTCCTTCATGCCCAATTCTTACTTTCACCTGCTGCTGAGCTCAGTTTGCTGCTCTCCTTAAAGCATCTTGCACTGGTATGGACAAACAACTCCATCTGCAGTTTTCTTGTGCTGACTTGGGTGGGTAAACACAGGTCAGAATGGGAGCCTGTACTCCCTCTGCCTGTGAAGATTTGGTATTGGCACTGAGTTGGTGGAGCTCAGCAGTGGAGCCCTCTGGGCCTGGGCTCCCCTGAGTTTGTCCACTCCCCTGAGTTTAGTCTCCTCACCTGCTTCCTTCTAGGCCCATTTCTGTGGTTTGCCTTTATAGAATTCACCCATTTCTAGAATTTACCCAACTTGTGGGTACCTCCTTCCCAGTGTTGTTGTGGTCCTTTTACTCCTGTCCATGTGGTAGCAATGTCCCCTCTTTCGTTTCTGATTCCAGTAGTTTGAGTTTTCTCTCTCCCCTGGTCACACTAGCTAGAAATGTGTCCCTTTAGTTGATCTCTTTAAAGAATCAGGTTTTGGATATTTGGTCTGTCTCCTATTCATTCATTCCAGCACTCATTTTTTCTTTTTTTTTTTTGTGGGGGGTGGAATTTTTTCTTTTTAAGTATGCATTTTGACCTATCTTACATACATGGAGTACAACTTCCCATTCCTGGGGTTGAGCATGATGTGGAGTGACACTGGTCATTTACTCATCCATGAACATAGGAAAGTTTCCCATTCCCAGCCTCCCACCCTTCCAGGCACCGTGCCCTGCCCAATCTGGTGACACCCCACCCCACTGTGAGCCAGCATCCACATATCTGAGAGAACTTTTGGGTTTTGGGTTTTGGGGACTGGTTTATTTCACCTAGCATGAAGTCTCCAGTTGCATCGGTTTACTGGCAAATTCCAGTGCCAGTCTTATGGCCTCTTCACTTTCTGTGAATTTTATTTACTCTTCTTTACCTGGTTGCTTTTTTTTTTTTTTTTTTTTTTTAGAGAGAGAGAGAGAGAGAATTTTAATACTTATTTATTTTTTTAGTTTTCCGCGGACACAACATCTTTGTTTGTATGTGGTGCTGAGGATCGAACCTGGGTCGCACGCATGCCAGGCGAGCGCGCTACCGCTTGAGCCACACCCCCAGCCCCTACCTGGTTGCTTTAAGTGGAACGTTGGGTTATTAATTTGAGACCTTTCTTTCTTGTAGGCACCGCTGGCCATCATTTCAGAGGCTTTAAGTGGTTCGGGTTTTAAGTGACTTTCCAGTTTGCTGGGTCAGGCCACAGGGAGCTCCCCCAACCTCGTGTCCCCTCTCCTCCGCAGGGTGAGTGCTCCACCAAGTGCCGCAGCCTCTTTGTACTGGAGACGGTGTGCGTGGCCTGGTTCTCCTTCGAGTTCTTGCTGCGCTCCCTGCAGGCGGAGAGCAAGTGCGCCTTCCTGCGGAGGCCGCTCAACATCATCGACATCTTGGCCATCCTGCCCTTCTACGTGTCGCTGCTGGTGGGCCTGGCGGCGGGGCCCGCGGGCAGCAAGCTGCTGGAGCGAGCGGGGCTGGTGCTGCGGCTGCTGCGCGCGCTGCGCGTGCTCTACGTGATGCGCCTGGCGCGCCACTCGCTGGGGCTGCGCTCGCTGGGCCTCACGGTGCGCCGCTGCGCGCGCGAGTTCGGACTGCTGCTGCTCTTCCTTTGCGTGGCCATGGCGCTCTTTGCGCCGCTAGTGCACCTGGCTGAACGCGAACTGGGCGCGCGGCGCGACTTCTCTAGCGTGCCGGCCAGCTACTGGTGGGCAGTTATCTCCATGACCACCGTGGGCTACGGCGACATGGTGCCGCGCAGCCTGCCCGGGCAGGTGGTGGCACTGAGCAGCATCCTCAGCGGCATCTTGCTTATGGCCTTCCCAGTCACCTCCATCTTTCACACCTTCTCGCGCTCCTACTCGGAGCTCAAAGAGCAGCAGCAGCGCGCTGCCAGCCCCGAGCCCGCCCTGTGCGAGGACAGCACGCGCTCAGCCAGCGCCACCGAGGACAGCTCGCAGGACCCCGAGGGCACCAGGGGTGCACAGGGCCCAGCAGGGCCGCTCTGAGCTGGCAGGAGGGTACTGCTCTGGAGCTTCAGGAAGTGCGGTCGCTGGAGGTCCACGAAGGGGCCTGCAGACCTGCCAGAGCTTAGTCTAGTGCACCGACTGACCTCGGAAAGCTTCCGGCTCCCAGTAACTCCTGAGAGCCCACCAGCCTGGGTCCTCTTATTTTCCCTCGGGTTTTAAATTTTCTATGGCTAACTGAATAATCCACTGGATCCCAGAAATCCCACACCTGGAGCAAATGCCAAGCTACGCTGGCCTGGGCCTGACCCTGACCTGTCAGCCAGGGCAGCCCTGGCAGGAGTGGGGCAGTTGGAGACAGAAGTCCCTTCTGCTGCCTGGTCACCCATAGTGGCAGTGCACCATGGGAGGGAGACATCCAGCACTGCCAGTCCATGTCACTTGCAGAGTGACAGGGCAGAGTCTTGACATGGGCACTCACAGGCCCTGCTTCTCCCTAAGTAACCCTGCTTTGGTGGGGGGCCCAGACCTCTGACCTGCATTCCCTGACACTGGCTCCTCAGGTGACAGGGCCTCCCCTGGCAGGTGGCAAAGCAGGTTTGCATGTGGTGTTTTAACAGCCCCCTCCACCCACCCACCATGGAGGAGGCTACATCTCCCCCCTGGAACACAGTTCTCAAGGCCTCACAAGCAGAAAACACTCCCCACTCTCAAGTCCGGCGTAGGATGTGGTGGTATAGGGGCAAGATGGGCAGGTGCTCCTTCAACGTTTCCACAAAAGCATGGGCAAGTCCATTCAGGACAGGACAGAATTCTCCAGATGCCACTTTGTACTTTTTCACTGATGAGCTTGGCCACCACACCTGAGATACTGCACCCAGAGGGTCTTGGACAGCAGGGTACCCTCCTCAGGACCCCTGGGGTGAGCAGAGGCCCTGTGGGTCCCTTGGATGTTTCCTAAGATTCCACTGAAAACCAATAAAAAGTGTAGCCTCCCCTGAAAGCTCCTGGCTGAGCTCCTTGGGTGCAATGTCACCTGAGTCTGTGGGTCTGCCCAGAGTGGGGGCCTGGGGCCCCAGGATCTCCTGGGAATCGGCAGGTGCAACAGTGGGAACCACCAGAGACACTCTGACCTCACCAGTGTCCCTTCACTAAGCCCAGCTGTCTAAACTCCTAGGTCCACGGCAGAGCCCAGACACATATGCCCCTGCTCTCCAGGGTAGGCTGGTTCATCTCAGGGTGCCAGAGCCAAACCCAGAGCCAGAGAGGCCTGGGATAACCTGCTGCACGCAGGCTCTGAGGTTGGCATGCACACAAACACCTGGGCTCCCCAGTCAAGGACAAGGGCCCCGGAAACTGAAATAACTGTCTTTCCAGCAACCTAGCAGGCTTCCTGCAGACCAGATAGAGGCCAGCCAGCATGGGAGAGCCCTCGCTCCCACATCTACCTTCAGGGTTCCCCACTTTCTCCTGGATTCCTGCACAAGCTTAGGGAAGAAAAGATACCCTTATTTCATGAGGAAATGACTGTCCAAGATGGGCCCAGCCACATGTAGCACCCTGGCCTGAGACCTGCCCACCCGGCCAGTCGGAATGGTGAGGACATGGGGCTGCTGAGCCCCTCTTCCTGTACTCTGGGCAGGCTATTCTTCTCCTCCCCACTGGGCCACATGCTATGGGGAACAGGTGTGGTGAGGACAGGAAATGCAGGGAACAGGTAAGTCCACCTGAGAGCCAGAACCTCCTCCAAAGTGGGCTAGAGCCAGAAGGCCCCAAGGGCCCCTTGTGCTCAGACCAGCCTTCTGGCTTGTGCCCCTCGACCCTTGGGGAGCCAATGCAAGGTGAACTGCCCTCACGGCAACAGCTGCAACTGGCTCAGGATGAAAGGGGTAGAGGATGGTACCTGCCAACACAGACCCAGGCAGCCTCACGCATCAGGCCTGTATTTAAGCCCTCACATGAGGATGAGCCTCCAGGAACAAGACAATTCCTACTGTGCAGGCACGCTGACCTTTACCATGAGGACCCCCGAAATAAACCCAGGTGGTTGTTCCTTGGAGGCCAGGTAAGTAGCAGGAAAGGACCAAAGGCATCTGTAGGAGACTCCAAGACCAGGCTGGGAGCATCAGAGGCCCCCTGGGTCACCAGAAAGGAGAGAACATTGGCCAGCTCTGCTGAGAACAGTGGATGGGGAGGGACACAGCTGCCGCTGAGCTATGGCCTGACCCTGGGCTCTGAAGCTGCCAGATGGCTGTCCTCTCACAGGAGGGCTCCGGGCTGGCTTGGCTGCCACGGCTCAGTTCCCTGCCTGTTTTCAGGGGGCGTGAATTCCCTAGATTCCCACCAGCCCCCTTCCTCACGTTCTGATGAACTCCACACCGGGAACACCTGCCCGGGCCTCTGGCAAGAGCAGTGGTGAATCACCACTTCATCAGGGCACTGCTGTTAAAGTGGTAGGAATCTTTCAGGGCAGCAGTGACTTGGCTGAGCTGAGAAATGAGGCTATTCCACGACCTCAAGAGCCATGTTGAGACCTATTCCCACCTCTGCATGTGCTGCTGAGGAGGGCAGCCGCCAGCCACAGGACAGAGGTGGCAGGGGCCCAGTTAGGCCATCTGAATGGAGGCCGGGCACGGTGCCCATGAGGCCAAGTGGGGCTGCCACACCTCAGCCTCCTCACTGCCAGAGCCAGAGCCACCAGGTGTTCTACCTTGTGCAGACAACTCCCTCACTGCACAGGCCTCCGCTCAAAAATCAGCAGAAAGTGGGTGACCATCCAGGTATGGTGGGAACTCTGGCTTAACTGACAGGCACCTGCAGCACCAGGCCTGCACAGTTCCCCAGCACCACGACAGTGCTTCACTCCAAGGCCACCTACCCCACCCACCCCCATGCTGGCCCCACCCTAGGCACACAGAAGTCTGACTCAGAGCCAGCTGAGGTACATTCAATGAGCAGCCACCGAACCTGCGGTCGGTGACATTTTAATTTGGAAGCAATTACCACTACAGACATCTACCTTCATTTTTAAAAAATAAACATTTCAAAGCATCTTGCAGCCACAGAACTAAGCAAGAGCCTCACTCAGACACTGAATCTGAGGAAAGCCAGGTGGGATGGTGCTGTGGCTTCCTGGGCCACCATAGCGCCCCCTGCCATCACGAGCCTGGTGCTGACCACAGCCTGCCGCGACCCCTGCATGGGGGCGGCCCCTCTGCCCTGCAGAAGGAAGTCATTGCCTGTGGGAGTCCACAGAAGCATCCAGAACTCTCAGGGCTGGGAGTGACCAGATGGGCACAGGGCTGCCAAGCACATGTCACCGGTGTTGAATGGAAAAGGGGAACATGGCGGTGGTGTCAGGCCAGCGGCCCGTCAGGCAGGCACAGCAACAGTGGCAGCGGGTAGGTGGGGACAGCATGGGGATGGGCCACCAGCAGCCAGGACCCTCACACTGGCCTGCTGTCTGTCCTGGCAGCCACAGGTTCTGCCCGGGGTCTGCAGGGCCCCCTCTCCCCAGGCTTGCCCAGGGCAGCTGCTGAGCCCCACAGCCCTCCTTCCTGACGGAGCCTCTCAGGTCAGGCCAGTGCATCTGAGAAGGCGCATGAGACACAGTTTCCTGTCACCTTGAACATGCCTGAGAGCTAGCCCTGGGTGCAAGATCCGTGCCCACTGTCCTCACGGGGAGTGCCAGACTGGCCTGTTCCCAGCCACCCCCAGGCACCCACCCCTCACGCAGGCTGGTGGAGAACCTGGCACCAGGACTTCACCTCCACCCACACCCAGGATCACACAGTCTTGTCTCTGGTGCCTCAGAGGGCCTTGGCACTGGCAGGGTGTGCAGTGTGGGGTGCTGGCTTCTGGGGGTGGCAGGCAAAGATATAGGCCTGCCCCAGGATGGCCAGGTCCACCAGCACCTGCAGCAGGCCACAGACTGAGAACTGCAGGGGTGCACCATTGAGCAGGAAGTAGGCTGTCTTGAAGGTGTCCCCGCTTGTCCACATGAGCACCATCTTGAGGCTGTGGAGACACAAGAGGGAAGTCAGAGGACGGACAGGGACACACAGGGAGGTCAGCAGTGTGATCCAGGGAAATGGGGGATGTGCTGTGGCCTACTGAGGTTGGGACCCAGTGCAGCCTGGGGTGGGTTGGCACCATGTTGGGCAAACAGCCTGGACTGACACAGGCCCAGCCAGGGCAAAGGCCTGGTCCTCATAATTGCACATATGGGTTGTGTGCCAGCCAGCCTCAAAACACCAAGAGATGGTCTGTGTACCCCTCTAAGCAGAGAGGTTAAGTAACTGCTCCAATGTCACACAGTAAGTAGGATGAGGTCCAATGAGGCTAACTCCAAAGCCTGGGAAGCACTGGGTTTAGGCAGAGGGGTGTGTAGCTGCAGCCTTGATCCCAGGATCACCTGTCCTGTCCCAACCAGCTGCCCGTACCTGTCGCAGTCTGGCTGGGCACACAATCACGAGCCACCACACAGCTTGTAGATTCAAACAGCGACTCTTTATTCCCGAACTCACACCAGCCGTCTACAATCACGTTCTGGGGAAATCCACGTTCTCTTCCCAAATCCACCGTTCTCTGCCCAAATTCACTTCCACTGGGCTTCTATCTCCAAAATATACTGTCTGAATCCCGTGAGAACTCAAGGGGAACTCAGGCAGCAGGATACGCCCTATTCCCAGCAGGAATAATCTTAAACCTTAAACCTGGAACCTAAACTGGGAACGCCCTAAACACGATTATCTTAAAACCGGGAACACCCTAATCTGCCTTGGTCCTTGAGCAAGGTCACTTACATTCAATGTCACTGCAACATGTCAGCAACATGGGGTACGCTGGCAAGGAAATTGTCATACCTACTTGGCTAATGGCTCCCAGCACGTACCCTCACTCTTAGTGGCCTCAAATGCACAGGTATGCTCCAGAGCTTGACACCATGGCTTCCTGGACCCCTGTCACCCCCGCTCCCCAGGCGACAGCTCCTCCTGACCCACCATTGTGGGGGCAAGTGTTCAAGCCCAGCCTCCAGAGGCCCTGACACTAGCTACCTTGACACTAGGGGCTGGAGCAGGTCAGGCTCCCAAAGGACCTGCTCACTGGGAGCCACAGCCACCAAGCTTGGGACCCAGGGCTTTTGATTTCAGTGCATTATTGATGGAAATGATGAATTCCACCTCTTTCTCCCGCTGGGTTTCTGTGATCCTTTACCCCGGCACCATCTGTGAGAACAAGGAGCAAGTCCACTAGTTCTGCCATCCAGGGGGTCCCCAGTGCACACCAAGCTTGGCCTCAGCATGGTGGTAAGCCCCACCCGAAGCAAGTCCCTCTGTCCCTAGACAGCAGACACTCAGCTGGCCCAGATCCCACCCAGGAGCCCCTATCCTGCAGGATGCCCACCGTCAGGCTCAGCCGCATAGGAGAACTGAAGCAGGTAGGGAGGGGACTGCCACCTCCAGGGACCAGGCTTTCTGTCTGCAGCTCCCTCTGGTGGCTGGTGGCCAGGGGCAGCTGCAGCTCCCCAGCTACACCTCCTGGTTTCCCAGTAACCTCACTCTTGGCTCCAGCAGGCTTCCTCCAAACTGGCTGCCAGATCACCACTCCTGAAACACCCCTCACCTGATCCTGTCCCAGGTAGCCACTGGAAATGGCCCCCAGGTCGAGGAGATGAGGGCCAACTCCCAGACCTGCTCAGCTGCCTCCCTCCCACAGGCACACAACCCATCCTGCCCCAGCGCACCAGGGACAGGCCCCACTTTCCACCAACCATTGAACCCCACCCAACGATATCCCCAAGAGGCAATCCCAGCCCTCCTGTCAGGTGACCCTGTGTTAGGCCAAGTTCTCTCAGGTGAGATGAAAGAAAAGGCCGGCGGGGGCGGTGGCGCAGGCCTGTGATTGCAGCAGCTCTGGAGGCTGAGGTGGGAGGATTGCAAATTCAAAACCAGCCTCAGCAACTTGAGTCCCTAAGCAATTCCTTGAGACACTGTCTCTAAATGAAGTACAAAAAAAAGGTCTTCGGATGTTGCTCAGTGGTTAAGCACCATTGGGTGCCAAAAAAAAAAAAAAAAAAAATCCCCAGTATGAAAAGAAAGAAAGAGCATTGCATTGCATTGTATGGGTAAAATCTGCTGTGAAAGGCAGCATAAGGAAAGCAAGAAGACCACCCACAGGATGGTGGGGGAAAGATTTGTAAATCATACATTTGATGAGGTTGACTATCTAGAATATATGCTCTTACAATTCAGTAACAAAAACCACCACATGACCAACTTACAAAGCAGCAGAGAGCCAAGTAGACACTCTCCAAAAAGGAAGCACCCATGCACTTGAAGAGATGTTCCACGTCACGGCCACCATGGAAATGCAAACTGAAGCCGCAGCGACACACCCCACATGCCTGCCACAGTGGCCAGAGGCACAGACAAGGCTGGAGGGGGCACGAGGACATCACTTCACAGGGTGGTAGGAACATGAGGTGGTGCAGCCAGCAGAGAGACAGGTTGGCAGTCCCCTCAGCCATCAGTCGCCACGTGATCCAGCCCTCGCGGGCCCACCTGTCTGCCCCAGAGGGGAAAACATGAGTCCACGTGAGAACCTGCACACGGAGGTTCAGGACAACTTTGTTCCAAAGAGCCTGCGGTGGCTGAGCACCCGGGTGCCCAGGAACTGGAGTGTGCTTAAGCCACATGTGGTGTTTGCACAGAGAGATGTCACAGCATAGACAGCAATGGCACCAACACACCTAGGCCTCTGAGGACCTGAAGATTGCTGCCTGAGAGGAGCCGGCACTGGACCATGCTGGGCAACTGCACAGCTCCAGAGCCACCGTCAGGAGACCCGCGTGGCTGTGGGGCCAGCTGGGGCGGACAAACCACCTGCCGCCTGAGGACAGTACCTAATCCTTGGACACAGTGCTCTGCTGAGGCCACTGAGGTGCACTGGATTATGGCACAGGCCAGCTCTAAAGTGTCCCAGCCCCTTGTCAGAGGGCGGCCATGGGCTTTGTGTGAGGGGGTCATCACGGGCCCTGCAGAGCACCTTCCACTCACAGCTGTCACCAAGAGCTAGGCGGAGGTCTGAGGATGAGGTAGATGTGGTCTAGGGGGAAATGCTCTACTTCCCAAAAGGCTGCAGATCCAAATGGTCTGCTCAGGAGACCAGACCAAGACAAGGCCCATGTGGGATCAGACACAAAATCCAGCTTCTGGGTGCATGCCGCTCAATGGCGAGAGCCCAGAGTCCTGCTGGATTCGGCAGAGTGGCCAGATGAACAGCATGGCTGTGGAGGGTGACCTGCACCTGCTGCCTCTGGTCTCCTTCTCCTCACATAGCCTCCATGGTCACTAACTGTGGCCCTGCCATGGGGACCTGCACCTCCCTCCAGCCTGCACCATCTCTACCTCCCTCCAGGCTCTGCGCTCGAATGCCTGGATGCCTTCCCCACACAGCCCTTTGCATTCTTCAATAATAACCCGTTCCTCTGTTGAAGGTCTTGGACTGCTCAGCCCCCTCTTATCTCTTACAAAATCCCACTCCCACTCCAATGATTACTTGTTAGGGAACAGTCTTCAAATCTCATAAAAACTGGAGGAAGACGAATGCAAATAATATCCCCACAGAATCTGCCTTTCAGGTTGCTGCACTAATTAGTAGCATCTTTTCAAAGGCTCATCATTTCCTATAATTGGCACTGAACCCACAACATCTTCATGTTTTTCAAAAGGAAAAACATTATTCAAAAAAACTCTAGCAAGTTGCTCCATGATATACAAAGTATGTACAAGTCTGTGTGTGCATGTGGGTAAGACCATGTCTCCAGATGCACTCCTGCATGTGCACACCTCTCTGCACACATGTGGTATGGGTGCCTTTGTGCATGTATTCACATGAGGGTACATGTGTACACACACATCATAAACGTGTGAGTCTAGGTGCACGCTGTGTGCCAGTGTGTGGCCATGTGTGCACACTCATGTGGACACATGCCTTCCCACGAGGCAGGACCTGCTGTGAAGCCACTTCTACAAGGCTGCTCACTTGAGGCTGCCCAAATTAGTCGGTTCAAACATGAATTCAAAGACATCCTTAAGCATCCTGGTGATCTTTGGTTTTTGTTGTAATGGCGGTGCTGGGGATTGAACCCAGGGACTTGTGCATGCAAGGCAAGCACTCTATCAACTGATAGAGTGATCCCCAGCCCCATCCTGGTGATCTTAAGGTGGACTTGAGGCAGAGGTTGTGATGTGGTCCCAGAGGCCTCCACACTTCCTAGTCCACAGCAGTGGTGCTAGGAGGCCCTCAGAAAAGGAGGCCAGGGCTGGGGTTGTGGCTCAGAGGTAGAGTGCTCGCCTAGCATACATGAGGCACTGGGTTCAAACCTCACCACCACATAAAAATGAAATAAAGAAACTGTGTCCACCTACAACTAAAAAATAAATATTAAAAAAAGAAAGAAAAGTAGGCCAAAGTCTACACTGCCACGCTGCTGGCCACCAAGCAGTCTGTGTATCCAGAAGTGATCACATGTGCACATTTAAACACATCTCGGTACACCCAAGGCTGGGAGCGTCTGCTCTCTAGCTCACATTCAGGAGTTCCTCCACGTCGCCCCATGGGGAGCAGGGCAGGGTGCACAGGAGCCTGAGGTTTCTGGGCAGGCGATCGATCCAATGAGTGTCCGGGGTGCACAGAGAGGACATGTCTGAGCACATCCAGGAACCCAGCAGAGCCCAGAATGGGCCACAGGGCATGGACGCCAGGTCCAACCTGGGTTGGGTGTGGCCCACACAGAGACCCCAGGAGACAACACAGCAGGAGGGGTGTGAAGCTGAGGACCACAGGAAGCTTCCAGCACTGCTGCGACAGAGCCCCAGGGAGCTAGGGCCTGTGCAAGCAGAGGACTCATGTCCTGCCTCGGAGGAGCCTCTGCGCACTGCCCTCTAGAGTGCCACACCTGCCTCCCTCTGCTGAAATGGGGGGCTCCCTGGCACCCAACGCTGGGGCTCAGGACCAGTTTGGATTCAGAGGAAAAGCCACCAGAATTTACTCTTGGGTGACATAAGACCTCAGCAACCAAGGTGGACAACACATCTGAGCAGCAGCAACCATGGTCTCAGCGTTCCTGTGTCAAGGAGAGAACATGCCCCCATCTGACCACAGGTCCTGTGTCCAGGTGCCCACCCTCATCTGCTGATGTGGCCCAGCACAGGCTGAGTATCTGTGTCCCTTCGGTGCATGCTGAAGCTGGCCTAGGAGATGGACAGTGTAAGATCTGGGGACTCCCCTTCCAGGTCAGATGCACAGGAAGGGCTGACCTGGGGGCCTGGGCTGTGATCCTGACAGTTGGTCTCTGCAAACTTGGACTTGGGGAGGGATTCCACCGTCTGCACTTGCTAAGGCAGCCCCAAGGCAGCCAACATGGCCCACATAAGACAAAGACCTTCCCCCAGGGAGTCGAACACTGGCCCAGGGGAGCAGCCCTCTGAGTGAACCTTACTGGGCAGTGCCCAGATCCAGTCCAGCATGCTCCTGGCAGGGAGATCACTCCATGAGACCCTCCACAGGGTGCAAGGGGCAACCTGGGGCCTCCCACCCTCCACACATGGCTGCTATCATCCTACGCTGAGTGCTGCCAGGCCTTCACACAATCCCAGGAGGTGCAGCCAGGCACACACAGAAGAGGCCCCCTGAGAACTGAGCCCAGACCCAACTCCACAGCCACTTGCCATGAGCCCCATGTATATACCCAGAGTGGGCACACCCACTCTGCATACCTCCTTCCTCCCATCTGGCTCCTGGGGTGGCATCACCCCTGACCAGAGCCTTGGGTCCTCATGGTCCCAGCCCCATGGTGAGGAAGCCTCCCGGCCAAACTGTGGCTCATCCAGCTACCCCAGCAGTCTGGATTCGCGGTGGTCACATGGGCCAACCTGGCCCCTTCCCAAGCTTTGCAGCAGGCCAGAGCCCAGATCTGCACTAACATCCCTCAGCCCTGAGCACAGCTGCACCCCCCACCCAGGCCACACCTACATCTGTGCACCAAGCCCCACCTCCATCCCAGCCTGGGCCACTCCTTAAACCTGGGACTCCAGCTCTGAGAAGGGAACTTCCCAGAACCCTGAGACACACCCTGCACATCTAGGGAAAATCCACTTGGCTCCCCTTCCACCAATTCTGTTTTCTCAGAAATAAAATAGATCTGATGGTGGGAAATACCTTAGCAAGAGTGGGGGCAGGGGCGTCTTCAGTGAGGAGTGGGCAGGGTCTTCAAAGAAGGCATGGGGCGGGGTCCTCCGGGAAGACCATGTGCTGAGCTACTGAGCAAGCTGCGTCCTCGCCCCTCCCCACCAGGTGATGTGTTTCCTACAAACTGCTTTGTTCCAGAGTCTCTCCGGGGACTGCCTGGAGCTCACCAGGTACCCATCCCCTGATGCTGCCGTCACCTGGGGCCTGTCAGTCACATGGGGCTTTGTCCTGCCAGGTGCAGGCAGACCCTCAGTCTAGCCCTGTCTGATAACAGATCCTTCACCTCCTCCTGCAGATCAGCAGCAGGAGGCAATGCGCCACTGAGGGTTATCTGCCCTGACTACCTGCTTGCTCTGTGGGCAGGGTCTGTCCTGCCCACCTGTGCCATGGGCACCTGCCACTCCAGCTCTCCACAGCCTAGGAGAGCTCTTCATCCCCTGACAGGCGTCACTTCCCCCAGCCCTGCCACCTGAAATACCTGCTCAGAACAGCCAAGACCCCTGTGTTCAATGCCCCCCATGCCATCTGCAGCTCACGGTGCCACAGACACTCCGCACGTGCCCCTACCTCATGCCCTCTGTGGAGCGGTGGCAGTAGTTGCGGTACAGCTGTGGCACGCCCAGCATGGCCTCGGTCAGCACTGCAAGGAAGCCCAGCGTCTCCACAAACAGGGCCGAATCGATGGACAGGTAGGTGACATAGCCCGCCACACCAGTGAAGGCCAGGACACACTGCACATAGTCCCCGAAGCTGCTCCAATGCCAGAAGTGGTGTGGATCAAAATCTAGGGCAAGAGGGAGAGAGCCACTCAGCCAGGTGAGCAGGTCGGGGCAAGTAAGGAGGGAGACGGGGAGTTGAGCCAGGCCAGGTCAAAGTCAGCCGGGGAACAGGAACCAGGTGACAGGCTGGGGACAGGTACATGAGCAGGTCAGGGTCACTGTGGGGAAAGGCAGACTACACATGTTCTTGAGGAAGCTACTCCTGGTGGAGCCTTGGCACAGACACTAACTCCACATAAAAGGCACACTCTAGAGTCAAAGTTCCTTCTGAATCTGTGTGACCAGCAACAACACCAAGACAAGCAACCTGATTAAAACTGGGCAGAGTCTCAATAGATGTCCTCCACAAGGCCCAGGGAAGGATGGCCTGCATCATTAGTCAGAGGGAAGTGCACAGGGGAGTTCAGGGGCTGCCTGATGCTCTGTTGAGGATGGAAGCCCAGACTAGCTGGAAGACTCAGTGGAGCCATGCCATGTTCAGGATGCACCTGCACCTCCTGGGTGGCTCCTGGCACAGGAGGCTTGTAGGAATCTGGGCTTCAGGCAGGCAGGTAGGTCCCCAGGCCCATCCTAGGCACACAGGAGGAACACACCAACGTGGGTGGGGGCTAGGGCCACTCCTACCTCCCCCAGCATTCCCACACTCCCCTGAACAGGGGCACCTGAACAGAGGCCAGCTAGGGTTGGCCTCCACCTCCACAGGGAACAGCCTTCCCAGTCTCAGGGTCGTGACCTATCCATTTTCTTAAACCATGAACATCACAGTCTAAAGGAGCAGGAGGTTGCTGGTCCCTGCAGAGCAGCTCTGACCAGCTACAGAGGGCGTTGGTGTCCCCCACACCTCCTGCCTCTGCACAGGGCGTCCTGTGGGACCCAGAGGGCTAGGGTGGGCAGTACTGCAGGTATCCCCACAACCCACAGCTCTGCAGGTCTGCTGCAGAGCAGCACCAGAAGGCAACTGGCGGCAGTTCTCTAAATGGAAGACTGCATCTGCCCACTCAAAGAGAGAGTGGCAGAGACCCTGCCTCTCACCCGTGGGGAGCAGTCAGGACCCCAGGTCCAGGCAGGAGTCCGACCCTCACAAGTGGTCGCCTGCAGCTGGGCCCTGGGGCCAGGCACCAGCAGTGACACCTAACAGCGTGACAGCGCAATTTTCCAATGGGCCACCAGAGTCGGCGGCAGTCCTGCGGCGGTCGACGGGCGCCCTCGTGCGGCGGGCCCAGGCCTTCTCATTGCCCTGGGAGCAGCTAGTGGAGGACAGGATGAGGGGTTCTCTCCTCAGCCCCTGCGACACGGTGTTCAGAGGCGAAAAGCCACTGGAAAGAGTGGAGGGACCCGCGCGTACAGCCTGGCCTGCCGCACCACTTGGGGCTGTGTGCTCAGCGGATCCCGCGCTCCAGGCATGGAGACTCTGGAGAAGGGGTCCTGCCAGAACTCCCAACCCCCATCCCACAGGCGCCTCGAAGCCGGGAGGCTGGTGCCATCTAAGGGGCTATCTGGTACGAGGCGACTGGTACCAGGCCCCAGCATGAAGTGCACCCCCCCACACACACCCTGCAGGCGGGCTGCTGGGGAAGATGGAGCGGGCTCAGGGCAGGGCATCCTGCTGAATAGCATGACCACAGCAGCTTCACCTGGCCAGCAGTGTCCCTCTGAACAAGCACATGTTCCTTTCCATTTCCAAAGCACCCAAACCCTGCAGCACCCAGGGGGCCCTGGCCAGACACAGTAACCCACACCCCTCCTAGCACACCATGACCCTATATGCAGTGGATTTGAGACAGCAAGAGCCCCACACACACACTGCAACTCTCTCAATCCCTGAATCCTGGGATGCATGGGGAGAGAAACTCTCCACTGAGCTACAGAGAGACCTGACAGCCAGTTCCATCCCGCTGAGCACAGCGCGGAGCAAGACTACCTGGGGCAGCTGTGGGGACACTCCCTACACCCCACTGAGGAGGAGGTGCAGGACACTCTAAGGAGAGAACATCATGCAGCCACCAGGCTACATCCCAGTAACCCCGAAGCCACCTGTCACCGTGTCCCAGACCCTGCTGGCAATGGCCCATAACAGCCTGCGTTCTGGCTGGCAGCCTGGTGCAAGAGCATCCCCTCCTCCTTTAGTATCTTTAAGCCAACCCGCAGCAATCAGGTGTGTGGTTCTCCTAAGCCGCTAGCTGGTGACAGACAGACGACAGAGCAAGAGGACAGAGCTCTACAGAGGAGATCTCGCAGCATCACTCCAGTCAGGGGCAGAACTGAATAGGGGCCAAGCGGGCTTCCTACCTAGACCCTGCCAGACCCCAAATTGCTCTCCGAAGGGGCAGCAGAGAGGGCAAGGCAACCAGGAACCACAGGAACACTCCGTGTTTCCAAACCCCAAGGCCCTTTCCAGACAGCTCTGCAGGAGCAGTTCCCTCTGGTCCCAGGGTCCAACAGCATGTGGCACCTGGAGGCGGCACACCTGACTCCTGAGACCCAGTGGGGAAGGGGTAGGAGCTTGATCCTGTCAGAGCTGATCCCACACAGAAGCTGCGCCTGCCACCACACCCTTCCCTGATCTCTTCTCACCTCCTTTCTTTCCTTTGCCACCCTGTCCCGGTCCCTTCTCACTGCTTCCCCAGCTGGCCTCAAACACCTAGGCTCAAGCTTCCTCCTGCCTCCCCCCTCCCCCCTCCAGATGGTTTCTTCTAACTTTTTTAATTGGTTGATAGAAACTCTTAAAGTCAGTGAGTGACCTCCATGACAGCTGGGTTGTTCCTCGTTCCACAGGGAAGTGCGGCGTTGCCTCTGCAGGTCATTTGAGGCCCCAGGCCAGAAGCCAGAGTCAACACAGCACCCGGGGAAGCCAGCAGCCTGCCCAGATGGGCGGGCCACCACCCAGCCTGAGGACCAGATGTGAAGAGAGCTCCCCAACTAGGGGAGGCCCCATGAAGGACACCCTCCAGGGACCCACCACACAGCAGTCTTACCAAGCCCAATAAGAGCCAAAGTTGGAAAAGGTAGGAGCTGACCAGGGTCCTGGCCTGCCGGGAGACAAGAATACACGGTGCGGGCTGGGGTCGTGGCTCAGTGGCAGAGTGCTTGCCTTGCACATGTGAGGCACTGGTTTTCGATCCTCAGCACCACATAAAAATGAATAAACAAAATACAGACATTACCTCCATCTATAACTGAAAATTATTTAAAAAAAAAAACCTGGTGCTCTGATGGGCCCTCTCCTGAGACACCAGGTCTCCCGACAGAGGTCAACAGGAATTTCCCTGTGCTTAGGAAATAATTATTTTCAAATAGTTAAAAAAAAAAATGGTATCACCATGTTAACCTATTTCAATAGGTTTTAAAGTAAAAACCAGTTCTCCAGGAGGAACAAATCAAAGAGCTCCCCTTCCTTCCCCACCTGGTCAGACGGGCACATGGCCTTGCTCCACTGCCCCACGCTGTCTCCCTTTGACTCCAGCTGAGCGGGGACAGAGCTGTAGGGTCAGCTCTGCCCTCAGCCACCTCTTAGCCCCCTGCGGCCACAGCCCAGTGAGAATGGTGGACTTGGCCCAAGCATGGGTGGTACAGGGCTCTGGCCCGAGCCTTGCATGGGGCAGTGCCAGGTCAAGTATAGCCAGAGTCCAATGAGACAGCAGCAGGACCTGCTGCAAAAGGAGCAGGAATGGCCTGCTGGCCTCCTGTGTCCATGATCCCGAGCCAGCACCAGCCTCTCCTGCAGCAGACATGGGAAGGACAGAGATGCAGACTTGCCATTCCCAGTGATGGACCCCAGTGACCAGGGGCTGGCACTGCCCATGTTGAACCACCATGGCGGCTCCAGAGAAGACCCAGGACCAAGAGCTCTCAGGTCCCAGGTCAGACAGGACATGGCAACTGCCAAGCAGCGTGCTAGCCCCAATCTAAGGCTGCACAAATGAGGAGGCCTCTGAAGACTGCCACTGAGGCTGCACGTCACTGTGAGGAAGAGCCAGGGACAGAAAGAGGAGACCCTCTCAGGCTGCAGTGATCTGGTGCCTTCTGTGCCCCTCATTTCAGGAGCCTTTCCCTCTTTCTCCTCGTCCCCACCCTGTCCCGTCCCGGCACCTTTGCCCTGCAGAGCCAGCTGCTGCCACCCCAGCCGACGGGCCACAGTCTGAGCAGTGCTGCCTGTGCAGCAGAAATGACCCCAGGAGGCCAGCCAGGCCTTGGGGCTGCCCACTTCTACAGCAGAACTTGGAATGGTGCCCAAGCTGCCCAACACAAACCACCACAGAACCTCAAGCTGCTGAGATCATCCCTGCTGCCACAGTGGACAAGAAGGCTAGCGTGTCTCTGACCTGGCTGAGACTCCTTCCTAATTCTGGCTCCCAGGGTTTCAGGTTAAAGACAGCAGTCTAGTGGGCACTACCAGAACAGTGACTCAAGGGTCACACACACCATGGCTGCTAAGTGCGACAGGCAGCCACACGGGAGGTCTCTGGACATCAGCACATGCAGACCTAGCCCAAACCCTAGCCCTACGACTAACTCTAACTCTCACCCTAGCCCCAACCCTAGTTCTAACCCTATCCCTTACTGGAACCCTAATTCTAGCCCTAAACCCAGCCCTAACCCTAACCCTATCATTAGCTCTAGCCATAACCTAGGTCTAATTTTAACTCTAAATCAAACCCTAACCCTAAGCCTAACCCTAACCCTAACTCTAAATCTAAATTTAAACCTAGCCCTAAAACAAAACCGAGCCATTGGCCTAACTCTAATCCTTAACCAAAACAAACCCTTAACCCTAATGCTAATCTCAGCTCTAATTCTAGTTTTAAGCTGAAAGCTAGAACTAACACTGACCCTGACTCTGACCATAATACTAACCCTAGTCTAAAAATCACCCTAACCCTAACCCTAAACCTAACACTAGACCTATCACTAACCCTAACCCCAAATTTAACCCTAATTGTAACCCTGATACTTACATTCACCTTACCCCTAACCTTAGCACTAACTTAACCAAAAACATAGCCCT